TACACATTTTTTTAACTCGTATAAATATTATTTTAATATTATACATGTATTTGCATTCATAAGTAATAATTTTATATAAGTAAATAAATAATGACGCTTATAATAATGTGTGGAGTACAAACGATCACAATATAGAGTACTAACAAAGTATCGAGATTTAAAATAGATTAAATTTTCATCTTCCACGAGATTCATTGACCTTGATCGTCTACTCATATATATATATATATATATATATGCGTCTAATAAAAAGTTGATCAATATGATTTATGTGAGATTAGAAATTATAAAAAATCTATAGTTTCAATACGTGCGTCAAATGAGTGATCGCAGATGTAAACGTGAAGAGAGTTTTTGGTTAAATTTAAACCTCGTATAATATTAATACGGCGATATATTTATATTTAATCGTATTTTCTATGCCGCTACTCGCTGCACTTTAATTTACCCAAATGCATTTATATCTTACAGTCATCGCACAGAAAAGGGCATTTAAGTGGCACAGAATCTCAAATAGAGAAGGTCGAGAGGGCAGAGTTAGATGTAATGTCAAGTACTTTTAAATGACGATAGTGAAAAGTGGTCTGCTCGCACTTGACTCATTCTACTTAGTCCAGACATATTTCCAAATGTTCGATAACTTGTCGAATGTACCGTTTGCCCCAACTTGGTATCGTAATTCGTGGTAGTAGGCCGATCCACGAAACATATGCAACACATCCGTATTGATAAAGAGATAATGGATAGACGGACGGAAGGTAGGATGACAATAAGTAATGAGCATTCGAACATAGCTGGGCCCCAAAATCATTCGATATTATTCAATGAAGCGCACGTAGAGGCCCGTAGCAAGTAGCTTTCTCCCGTTGTGACAAATCTTCCTTATCGCAGCGGTTCACTCCACTTGGCGCATTAGTCGTCCCGTTCGCGACCAAGTGGCTCAAGGAGTCGTCGAGGCGCGGGCTCCGGGAGACTGTGGCGACCCTCGAGTCCGAATCTCACGTCAGCTTACTAAATCCTACGCCTCGCTCAACGCCTGCACGCCCGACGTATCGATGTATCCGGGATTCGGGTCATGCGATTACGCAAGCCTCGGATGTCGAGGACGTCGTCCCTGGCCGTAGTCCTCGATTTTCCAGTTTCTACGTGGTCTTTTGACGGGGCTTTTTGCCCTCGAGGAGCCGAGACTCGATCGGCTTCTCAACCGGGCGACTCGCGATCGGTCCCGATAATCGCTGGCCTACGCGACTCGATAGTTCAGCCTCGTGGGAGCTTGGCTTTTTTCATCGCCTGCTTTCTTTTGTGACGTGCCAATGCGTGGGCCCAGCTGTTAAGGAAACTTAGTGCCTGTCGGCTCGACTGTGGAATTGCGATAGTCCGTGATTTGTTTTTCCCCACTATTCGATAAAATGTTTTTTTCTACTCGCGTCATTTTGCGCATTTTTGCCACGTGGTGCTTAACTTTTACATCGTCGATCATTAATTATGGGATTAAATGTATGATTCGTAAGATTACTTTGTAAAATTGGCGCAATTACTGGTTTAAAGCTTGTTTGCGTGTCGTAAGAGTTTTAGCGCGGAAAATTGATTTCATACGGAATGTATAAAGTAGTTGAAATTTCATTCGTTCCATACGAAATGTTGATAATATGTGCTTTAAACAGAATAGACTTTGGATTGTGTACCACCGATAGAAAATATTTCTAGAGCAACCTTTCTAACTATATAAATTTCATTACTTTTAAGAACTGTTCACACGAATACGGCACATTAGAGCATGTAAACTAATAAATTCAGTCAATTCAGTCGTATGCGTCACCCCCATATACACGTATCCATATGTCTTATTAATTTATTCATTTATAAATTTATAATTTATAATTTATTCAATGCATACATGCACAGATACGATATGCGCGTATGCGCATGCATTTGAATAACTTTTGAAGACATTGGATTAAATATTGGTATTTGTATTATCTATGAGACTTAATCGAGAATAATCATGCGCGCAGCTTGGAAAAATAGATTTTCAGATAAATGCATTCGGATAAATTTCAAGGAATGAAATTTCATTCCCGTAATTCATAGTTGTAAACTCTTGTGAATACCAATTACATCGCTAATACTTTATTGAATAATGCATAGCCTTTTATAATTAGACAACGGTGTAGGATTTTCGAAAAATATAATCTAGTACAATAATAATAATAATAATAATAATAATAATAATATACAATTGAGGGATTAAATAATGATCCTTGTTAATCATGACATTAGAACACAACGCGACAGATAAAAGCATGAAATAATCATTATTATTTATAATTAATGACGGTATCTCATATTACCAACAATTTCTTGTCCAATGCGCTATATACGGTCATTAAAATCCTTAAATCCTTTCGATATGTTGACTTTAGAGTCTCAAACTATCGCTACGAGGTCTCATTGAGATTACTCAATTTTATCGAAGGGTATGGATTAAGTTTGGCAACGCTCGTTCAATCGCAAGTATCGCTGCATCGATTTTATACACGGGATTGTCGAAACATTTCGCATTTCGAATGCTGGGGAGACTGGAAAGGCCGTTAACGTCGTGCTTGAACGGCAGCTCGTCATTGACGAGACCTCATTATTTCTCGAGGCGAATAATGCCAATCGATGCCAACAAAGACGTGAGCTTCGGTGACCTTAAATGTTTTTCAAACGAAATTCAAAACCAATAGTAGAAAAAAAATTGTCAAAAGTATGAGGTTACGCGTATCGCCAGGGATTTCTTGCATTCGTATAGTCTTGCAATCCCCCGGCTCATCGACGCCAAATCCACTAACATTCGACTCAGGGTTTAATTGCACAGGCGAGTCATCCAAGGATATTGAGAACCGGAACTTCCGATTCGCGTGGGCGCGGCCGCTCGCTCTCACGTTCAGCAATCGCGCTATTGCAAGGCGAACGTGAAGGGAGAGCGAATGCATTGTGCACAGGCGCGTACTCATTCGGGTTCAGAATTCAACGACGACGGTCCGTGAAACGCTGCTCTCACTCTCGCTTAGCGCGAAAAGTCGCTCGCGCCTTCCTTGGACGCTCACCCGCTGGTTATTCGAGAAAGCACCAACTGCTTTTACGTACTTTTATTATACTTAATATGCCCACTTTTTACGAAACCGGCCATTGAGTTGAGGCTGTCATTTATAATGGCTTGAGATGTTTTTGGGATAGATGAGGATTTCAAGTTGTCCGTAATCATTGTTGCTCCTGGGATTTTATCGTCAAGCTTCCGATCACTATAAATTGAAGAAAAAAATTTCATGACTTTTAGGATTTTTTAATTTTTTTGTGATTGATTTATTCGCTTAAGCATTTTATCGGCGATTACGATGATACTTTTATAAATGTGTATATTAAATATTTTATTATTTGGTATGTAAATCCAAATTGTAATTTTCTAATTAACTATTATACTGATTATCTTAGTATACTGAATATCACAAATTATTATACATTATATATGACTTTTGTAATTTTTGATTTTTTAATTTTTTTCAAGCAGTTTGCTTATGTCTTATCTTGTTTGATAAAAATGTCGATCATTGTAAAAAATAATATAACGGCATCGAATATAATTTCAATTTCAAATTAATACATTCTGGCTATTGTAAATCTATTTTGTCATTAAGTTTTTCTTAAATAATTTAAGCATGATAAATGGTGATTTTCTCTAGATGAAAATTAAATTTTTGCTTAAAATGAAAGTTAAATATTTGAAAAATATTAATAACTTAAGAAAGGTGGCATTTAAAATGCTATTATTATTATTATTATTATTATTATTATTATTATTATTATTATCATTATTTACTTTTTATTATTATCATTTTCAACATTGTGCGAATTTTCTTAATTGCTAAATAAAGCATATAAGATTTAATACAACGTTGTGTCAATGATTTTACGAAATACATGAAATAGCTCTTTTAGCTAAATTATTTTTAACTTCCGTCCCTTTACTTTATAGAGTAAATATATAGATTCTATGTGCCATTATATCATATACTTGTTCGACATACTATTTAAAACAAATATATAACGATCATGACTTCTATTTATTAAATACACAATTTCAAATTCATTCCGAATAATAATACAAACGATTTGGTAATAAAAATTACTTGTAAATAATATAAGTCCAACAATACATCTATAAATAGTTGAAAATCTAGCTTAATTGTATAATACTTATTGTTATTATGTATTATGTATCCAGTATTTTTCATTAGTTTAACGGTAAAGTCCAGATTGTTCGTAAAATATTTTCTTCTTCGATGCTATTTAAAATCGTCATCGTCAAAACCAATTTTATCAGTTAATGTGGAGTATAATTTAAGTTTGTCGAACAAGAATTATATAAATATTATTTTACTTATTGGTGAATGTACTGTGTATTTAAGGTAGTTTCGACATTACAAGTTTTCATCTTAATACAAAATTTACTATCAACCATATCAAACGCATTCTTACCATTACCGTAAAAATAATTCTAATCGTCGCTCAAATTTGCCTAATAAAATAGATAATTAAAATGTATGCAATAGATGCCAAGAGATTTGAATGCGCCAATGTTAAATGTTATAAACAATGAATACTTAATTAAGAGAAATTGATTAAATTTCATTATTACTTATGGTTTATATATTGGGAGAAGATCATAAAAACATTGACTAATGCTGAATCGAGAGGTACATTATATTGTAGAAATAACTTCTGAAAACGAGAATGCCCGTTATTTGTTAATAAATAAAACAAATAATAATAATATGGTTGTGTAAATAATTTTATAATGATTGTAAATGATATTGCCCAGTTCTATTAATATTACTGTTGATAATTTTGTTTGTTTTTTTGATTTCAATGAAAGCACATTTCAAGTATTAATAATCGAAGTATGAATTATTGATAGGTAGTTAATAATTTAGTTAATAATCTCTTTGATCTTCCAGGTAATCCCAGCATATTTGCTTGTTCTCGCTGAAACGCGAAAGGTCCAGCTCCGAGCGCGTGCGCAGGAGCCCCAAATATATTATGAAGAGGAGGAGGAGGCTCAGCCAGCTGAGATCGAAGATTACGCTTCCCAAATAGCTTATCAACCTCGTACAAGAGCACTCGCTTCACCTCGCTCCAAGGACTCGCTACAAGGCCCTAAACAGCCTCCGGTTCAAACAATTCGCAATTACAATAAAGTCAACGACGACGGCTCGTTCACCTTTGGCTACGAAGCCGCTGACGGGTCCTTCAAGGAAGAGACGCGAGGCACGGACTGCGTAGTACGTGGCAAATACGGATACGTCGATCCCGACGGTAATAAGCGCGAGTTCACTTACGTCTCGGGCAACCCTTGCGACCCGAATGCACCCAAGGACGACGACGACGACGACGACGAGCTCGCCAAAAAGCAAGAGCCCGACGACGTCTCCGGGCCAGCTAATTATCCAGCTGTGAGACCGGTGCCGAGACCATCTCGACCAAATTACCCGACCACCACACCCAGGGCGCCCACCACTATATTCCAAACCGAGTATCAGCTCGACGACGACGCCAGCCAGGAGCTCGAGGAGGAGGCCAAACCGCAAGCGTTGCGACCTTCCGCCTTCCGTAGGCCTCAATACGTTCAGGTTGTTGCTGAGCCCTCGTCCCCGCTCTATCAACCCACAGCTACCACTAGTCCAGCGCTTTATCGCTTAGCTTCGACTGCGTCCGCGCCTCGCTATAATTCCCCCACAACCCCAGCGCCTCTGCGACAATCCAGCATTTCCTCCACCTATTACCAGCCCATTGAAACTAGTACTCGCCCGGCTGTAACGCGCGTGCGTCCCCAATCAGTAGCCATTACTCCCAGGCCACATGTAGCTCAGGTTGCAGCCCAGTACGTATCGCCCAGCAGCACCGAGAGGCCTGGCGTCGTGTTCGCTCCCCGTACGGTTGCATCGGTGCACTCGACCACTACCGCCACTCCACCTAGCCAGCATCTCGACTTCGCCGCGGAACTCGAGCGATACGTCAACTCTGTGGGTAGCTCGACTCCCAGCCCCCAGGTCGTCCAGGCACCAAAATTTGTCAAAGCCACTCAGGTGCAAGCCCAAGCCTCTTCTAGGCCCGATCCCATCTACCAGTCGGAGCTAGTTTATGATCCCGCGACCGGTCAGTACAACACACAGCTGTATCAGACTTTACCGCAGACGCTAGGCGATTTTAGTCTCAGTCATAAGCTCCAACCATTCGTAGCCGCCCAGCAGCAGCCCCTCATTGGCCTCCAGCAAAGTCCCATCTACCGGTCGGCAGCCTCGGTGCCTCAGCCGCCTCAGCAGCCCCCGTCTAGGCCCCGCCAGCCACCTCAGCCACAGGAGACTATTTACAGAAAGCAACAGAGCCAGCTGCTTCAGCAATCGCAGCAGCTCTACGCGCAGCAACAGCGCCGCCAACAGCAACCGGCCCCCTCGCAGAGGATCCAGCTGCTCCAAGAGAGCCCAAGAGATCCTCAGAGCTTCTATTACATCGCAGCTGCTCAAAATCCCCAGCAAGTCGGACCAATTTCTATCGGGCAAATCGATCAGTTCCTTCGTAATAGTGCTGGCGGCTATTGAGGAACTTTCTTTGCGGTGTTATCGAGTCACTCTATCGAGCCTTAAAGCCTTACTTACTTACCGCAAACATTCCCAATACACTATCTATTTCAATTGTGACTCGCTCTAATTGGGATTCCAATGACTCGTACAAATCCACGTCTCATTCGACCTTCATTCACGGTTCTTCTCCATCATTATCTTCTTCTTCTTCTTCTTCTTCCTTCTTCCTTCTTTCGTACATCTATTTCATTTCTCTACTAACACTGTTCTTGTAAAGGGGACGTAAATGGGCGACCGTATTATATTTATGACCCTAGTGCAAGATAAATACTATAATAGATAAATGATAAATTCATAGGCGTTACGAATATTCATAATGGAAGTTACAATGTCATATTGTTGCTGTCGTTAAGAAACTTAAGTTAGTCAATCGATATGCTTTACTGGATGAAGAAGTGCCTTCTTTCAATCATAATTGACAATTATGACAAACATGCAATTGACAGCTTAATAATCTTCTTTTTCGTAAACAACAAATAATATCAACTGCGTTATTATATATTTTTATAGAATTCAACGAATCTTTGCAAACAAAAAGAAAAAAAATACAGAAACACACAAAAAAAAAACAAAACAAAAAAATTAATTTTTCAACAGTAGTACGTATGTGGAATAATGAATTATGATTCAATACGTTTGACACTTCTTTCTTCTACTTAACTGTTAGTATTTGTATTCATTATTTTCAATTGAGCGTATCGTATAAAAAAGCAATTCGAAAATTTGCCGGTGAGATTTCATTTCGGATTATTTATCTGTAATTTGCGGGTCTGTGGCAGGGCAGTGATCAATAACAACCTTGATAATTCTCTTGGCGCGATAAGTTAAGAGTGAAAAGTGAGGCACTCATCGCGTAACAATACCTTTGCAAGCAAAAAGTACTAGCAAAAAGCTTGTGTGACCACAATTTAATAAAAAAAAAAAAGGCACATAATCGACGAAAAGTCTCGATTAACAATGCATGCAGTTGCACAAATCGATATTCCGAAGCACAATTTCCAAAAAATATTTTGAATACTTCAAGATGTTCGACAATATTACAATAAATGACGTGAATTTATATTAGATAATTATGAAATATAATGAAATTTCAAAATATTAATTATTGAAAAGATATAAACTGCTGTAATATTAGTTATGCATTAGGACAATGAATGTCCTTGTTTGATATTTTGTATTATAAATGCACGTATCATTAAACTTACCTTCCCAATGTACAATTCATAGACGATAGTAATTATCAATATTTTAGATAAAATTAATTCATTCTTCGTGTCTTCAATTTAATTTTATCAATTTGATTAATAAATCAAATTATCTTGAATAAATAAAAAATAAATTAGAATAAAATGACTAATTATCGGCCATTTATATAAAATTACACTAAATATGAAGTTCAACGATATAGAATATAGATTTCCCAATAGAATATAGAATATTTCTAATGGTTAATTTAAAGCAAAATTTGCCATAAAATTGACATTATTTCGTGATTTGTGAAAATGTAAAAGTATAAGTAAAAAATTTGCATACCTAAAGTAAAATGACATTAAAAGGAATGAAATATTGAATATTATGGCCTCGTAGAGTTATTCGCCGTGATAAATTAATTATAAAAAAGTATCAGAATTGTTTTACGTAAGTTCGATTTGATATTACAGACCTTGTTCTAATATTGTTAGAGGTTATGAGAGAAATTTCTGAAAGAAAAATTATTAGAGCACGTGAGATCTGCGAGGTTGTACTACATACACTAGTAAATCGCCAACATCAAACGATCATAACCTATTGGGATTTCCGTCTCTCTCTCTCTCTCTCTCTCTCTCTCTCTCTCTCTCTCTCTCTCTCTCTCTCTCTCTCTCTCTCTCTCTCTCTCTCTCTCTCTCTCTCTCTCTCTCTCTCTCTCTCTCTCTCTCTCTCTCTCTCTCTCTCTCTCTCTCTCTCTCTCTCTCTCTCTCTCTCTCTCTCTCTCTCTCTCTCTCTCTCTCTCTCTCTCTCTCTCTCTCTCTCTCTCTCACTCACTCACTCACTCACTCACTCACTCACTCCCAAACACACAAACACACAAACACACGCGTGAGCACGCACACATGAATACACAGCCACTCACCTGATCTATCTTTCATTTTATCATTTGTTATTAGTTCTGTCCCTATTGTGCTTCTTCTACTCCATTACTAGTGGGAAGGAAAAGATTTTTCCTTCCTCAAAGCCACGTATAATAATCATGCGCGAGCGCGGGTGAAAGCACCATCGAGCGAGAATCTGATGCAATACTCACGCATGCAAACACGCGAGATCAATTACCATAACGATATTTTCCATCTAGTTCGATCTCCGTGCTGGCTCGTGTAAACGTTACTTCGTAATCCTTTTTACTTTTGTCTATGCGACGTCATCCACGATCATTGCATCAGACATTCGCTTGTGCGATTAAATTTTGCAAGGTGCGTGTCCGATAACGAATAAGTAATTTTTTTTCGCTACAATTTTCTTATTTGTAATAAGCGCATTTTTGTATGCGCGTCGCCGAGAGAACGTTCGTTGCATAAATATCTACCTTTTTCACGTACTATCAAATAGACAAAGAAATGTATAACTGCGGAGAAAGTTATTATTATGCCAAGTTGTAATGACGCGGAGTATTGGTATGGAGCATTAATGCAGAACGTCGACTTCTTCATTATCAACCTTCATTTTCTATATAATCATAAAACGTACTTGAATTATAAAATGATGTTATTTTTGTTTTGCAAAACCATTTGTCTAAATAGTATCAAATAGTCGCAATTCTACAGCTCAATATAACTACGATAAAGTCAGGCGCACATTAGAAAGTTCAGAGCTCAAAGTGTGTTTGCCTCAAATTACCAGAAAACCGCTCGCTGTAGGTGAGTGAAATTTACCGGTCTAAGCTGTGACATGGTTAACTTACTCCAAAAAAAAAGTCTATGAATAATTATTGAGCGCATGGCAATGCAATCCGATAAAGATCTCCGTTGCGTATATCAATGTAAAGGTCAATAGCGTCGCTCCAGAAAACGCGTCAAACATGTTTAAAAAACACGAAAAATTGCCCCACTATATTTATATATTTCTCTCTCTCTCTCTCTCTCTCTCTCGATCATTCCCTCTCTGCATCTATCGTCACGCTCACTTTCTCTCCATCTCTCTCCCTCGCCCCTGCCCTCCCCCGCCGCCCCCTTCTCGTTCTCACACACTCACTCACTCACTCTCTCTCTCTCTCTCTCTCTCTCTCTCTGTCTCGCAGTTTCTCAGCCTCTCTTATGTTCTTTCTCAGCGCGGGAATCGACGAGAGATCCAATCGTAGGTAGTTGCGCAACTGCCAGTGCATGGGCTGCTAAGGCTAAAGTGAATTTACACGAAGTGTATATACGTATACGGCATATGTCTTGGGCGTGCTTGTGCGCAACGAAACCTCTCCGTCTTTTTCATTCCATTTATCTTGCGGTGCCCCTTGTACGCTACACGAGCGGGAGACTGGATTTATTACTTTTATATCGGTCGATATTAATTTATTCGGTTATATAAACAAACATCGTCCAACGTTTATGCGGCTAGGTGATGGGGAGGGGGGTGGAAAGGCGGTTTTCTTCTTATTCTCGGTGAAAAGCGGAAAAGAATAGTCACGCGTATGTGCCGTGAAAAGGGTGAAACGAAAAAACTTTCCTTCTCAACGTAACGGAAAATTAAAAGAGACGCACAAAGCGTTTAATAATACAATCGGGAGCCCAAGTAATCAGTATAGAAGTTAATTTGATTTGGAGAAAGGGAAGCGTTAATTAATTTTTGTAATAATTCTGGAAAACGTTATGCGGAAAACAATGCTGCGGCGTTACGTGATTTTCGTAAATTCTTAATATCCTTGACGCACGTTTGCCCCTAAAATTATAATGCTTTAACATTTGTACATTTAAATTCAAAATACTCGATTAATACGTAAATCGACGCTTTATCATTATCATAATACAATTGACCCTATCTTAATATTATTAAATCGATCAAATGTTTCATTGCGTTGTAACGAATAATTATTTGCTAAAGCATGACGAGGTCATTAGCTTAATATGAGAAAATATGGAGGATTCGAGTGAAAGAAAAGCGTAACGTTCGTTAAAATTATGGCCGATAGAATTATCATGTAGAAGAAGTAACTTTTATGAGGAAATCCGATCTTGCCCTCTTGACTACCGTAACAACTTTGTTTTGGCCGGGCCGGGCACAGCCGTAACAGGGGAAACTCAAGAATAACATTAAAGGCTGCGAGGCGCAACTCTTAATCATACTTCGTGCCGCTCCCCCACCCCTCGCTCCCGCACATAACATCTCCCGAGTAATTCTTAAATCATTGCGAAGCCCCTTCCGATTCACGCAAACGTCGAGAGCACAACCGGCGCTCCTGGTGTAGCGCGTCCTATTCTCATCCTCGGATGCTGCGCTAAAGCAGCCTCTCGTATCTCTCGCCGGTCGGTCTCTCGCTCGCGCATGCGCCACGGCCAATGACTGGCGGGCGCACGCGAGCGTGCATTTTACTTTCATTGGCGCGTATTAGACACGTGAGGCCAAGTTGCGGTGGCGGGGGCGGCGGGGGCGGCGGGGGCGGCGGCAGCGGCGGCAGCGGCGGCGGTGGCGGCGGCAGCGGCAGCAGGAGCAGCAACATTCTGTAACGCTCGCTTACTCCCGCGCACGTACGGTTTCGCTTTCGATGGCGCATACGTGCGCATACTGTGCTCGTAGCTTATGCGTGAGGAGGATCGCAAAGCCGCAGAACCTCGTCGGAGGTTTTCTTCCCGCGGCAACGCCAATCAAGAATTAAGAGACATTTTCACTCTTATGTGGATTATCCTCGTCCCAATTCTTAAATTCCCAATACTTATAATGCGCTCCACATCGTTCTGTCTCTCAACAATTCATCTTGCAATTTGCATTTGTACGGTCTCGACGGATTTATTTATTATGCGCGCCAACGCGGCACACGAAGCTCGTGATTGCTTTCATGGACGAAACTTCACTTTATACCGTATGACGTCGCATCGACGGCACACAATTGCGATGCCTTCTTAAATCCTTGTAAAATTTCTCACCACGTTTCCAATACTTTTGCGAATAAATGTTTATCTTGAGTTAAAATGGGAGAAT